AGAGAGATCCCAAGGAAACTGCATGGAACAGAAGAAAATTTCAAAGGTGTGCTTGGAGGCTCCCTGCAGAATTTTACACAGTCCTTCATTTTATGCCTGGCACTTTACCACTGCTGTCTTCTGTATTCCATCTCATTTAGATTGTACAGAGATTTTCACAGCCTGGAGTCCAGGTGTAGAGACAATGGCTTCTATAGACACTTTCTAACAATTCATTTCTTTTCACCTTCGAGTCATCTATTTGGGCTCTCCCTGTGTGGTACAAATGGTTAACTCATTTGGTTGCTAACCAAAAGGTTGGAGGTTGGAGTCTACCCAGAGGGGCCTGAGAAGAAAATCCTGATGATCTACTTCTGAAAAATCAGCCATCACAAACCCTACGGAGCACAATTCTGCTCTGACATGTTGGGGTCATCGTGAGTCTGAATCAATTCAATGGCAACTAGGAAAAAACAAAACAAATATTATCCACCTGTCTTTCTCTTACCTGGTATTTATGGGCCTTCACATTGCTCCTTAGAGAAAATTGCCTTGCTTCTCATGGGTGTCCTCTATCCCCTCTCCAGAAAGTCTTCAAGGTTGACCTTTCCCTACCTAAGTCATTTACCATTTCTTCATCCACTTTGTCTGCAGATATCTTGGTCTGGGAATACAGATATGTCTTGGATATAAAGGAAAGAGTTTGAGTTTGTTTCTTTTTTGTTTAGGGAACCTTTTGAAAGAAGAATGGAGCAGATACATCTTTATTTTGCCATCTTGAAATTCAGTTTTCTTCTGTTCACACAATGCCCTTTCCCCTGCTTAGCCTGATTCCTACTCTTTAAAATACAACTTAGTGTCACTCACTTTGGAAAGGTGCCCTTTATCCTCCCAGTTTAATTAAATGTCCTTCTTTGGGTGTTCCTCAGTCACAAAGCTATCATGCTGTACTGTACGTGTTAATTTTCTTGTCTGACTACACACTAGGTTATAAACACTTGAGGTCTGGGACCATGTCTTTAACCCAGTGCTTGCCCATAGAAAATTTAAGAATTTTTTATTGAGTAAATTCGTTGTGAGCATAGCTTTTGGGGATGATGAATAAAAGTGGATTTTTAGTTGCATGACAAAAAAATTTAGCATTAATATTAAATTAATATTTCATGATAGAAAAGCCATGTGAATACAGTGACTTAGAAATCATGAGATTTGTAACTAAGAAAAATAGTGTTCAAAAATTTGCTTTTACCTTTTTTTTTTTTAACAGAAACTTCCAGTCCTGCCTAGGCATAACAGCTGCGTAAGCAAACATTAAGATGGCAAATAGCTTTGAATTCTTCATAGTTAAGATGCCCTTTTTTTATTTTTTAAAATTGTGTTTAGTTTATGTGTAACAAAACATTTTCCACATCAACAATCTTCACGTGTATAGTTCATTGAAATTAATTAAATTCATTATGCTGTTCAGCCATCAGCCTAACCCATTCTCAAAATTTCCCATCACCTTTAACAGAAGCTCAGTATCCCCTAAGCAGTGAGTACTCATATTCTCCTTCCCACCCATCCTGGTACGGATAAAAAGAACCAAACTCACTGCCGTAGAGTTATTCCAGACTCACAGTGATGCCTTCTTAGGTTTCCTAGGCGATATCTCTGCAGAAGTAGATTACCCAATCTTCCTTCTGAGGAGTGGCTGGTGGGTTTGAACCACCAGCCTTCTGGTTAGCAATCAAATGCCTTAGGCACTACTCCACCAGAGCTCCCCATTCCTGGTAACCACTAATAAACTTTGGTCTTTATAGATTTTCCTAGTCTAGCTATTTCACATGTGATCATAAAATATTTGTCCTTTTGTGTGACTTATTTCCTTCAGCATTGTGTTTTCATGGTTTATTCATGTCATAGCCATGTGAATTTTAAACTACCACTTCCCAGTTTCTGTGGCTATTTTTATGGCACTCTATGTATCTAATAACCATTCTTTTTCTGAGTCAAAAACTAAGACCCATATTATTTAAAAAAAAAATTATTGTGCTATAGATGAAAGTTTACATAGCAAATTGGTTTCCCAATCAATAGTTCGTATACAGATTGTTCTGTGATATTGGCTGCCCTCCCTGCTATGTACCAGCTCTCTCTCTGTTTCCTCCTTGTTGTTGTTATGTGCCATTGAGTCCTTAGGGTCCCCTATTTCCCTGTCCCTCCCTGTCTTTTCATCTTTGGTTTTAGACAAATACTGCCCTTTTGGTCTCATATGGTTGATTGCTGTGGGGAGCACATTCTTCACAGATGTTGTTTGCTTTATAGTCCTGTCTATTATTTGGCTAGGAGCTCTAGTAGCTTAGTGCCTAAGGCACTTGACTGCCTACAGAAGGCTGGCAGTTCAAACCCACCAGCCACTCTTCGGAGGGAAGGTTGGGCAATCTACTTCCGTAGTGAAAGTGCCTCGGAAACCCAAGGAGGGGTCACTATGAGTTGGGTCCGACTCGACAGCACATAACAACAACAAACATTATTTGGCTGAAAGGTGGCTTCCAGGAGTGTCTTCAGTTTCAAGTTAAAAGGTTGTCTCAGGGCAATAGTTTTAGGGATACCTCTGGTCTCTTTCAGACCAGTAAGTCAAGTCTTTTTTTTTTCCTCTCTCTCTCTTTTTCTTGGATTTGAATTTTATTCTACTTTATTTATTTGTTTTTACCTATTCTAACTGGGACCTTCTGTTGAAGTCTTGGTCAGAGTGGTCAGGAGTGGTGGCCATGCACCACCTAGTTCTCCTTGTCTCAGGTTCGAAGAGGCTAGGGTTCATGTGGGCCATTCATCCTTTGGACTGATTGCTTCCTTGAGTTTTCCTTTTTCTTCATTCTCCTATGATCCAGGAGGGAGAAGATCAATAGCTGCTTTTTAGATGGCTGTTCACAAGCTTTTAAGATCCCAGACACTACTCACCAGACTAAGATGTAGAACACATTATCTTTATGAAATTGTTATGCGAATTGACCTAGATATTCCCTGAGGCTATGGTACTAAGAACTTATATTCTGATAAAAGAACAAAAAAGTGGTACATTTAAAAAGAAGGTACATGCAGTCTCCTGTTACAAGTGAGATCCATTCTTAAGTATGTCTTTAAGTTGAAATTGTTGATATGTTGAAACAGGTACATATGGTTCTTATTTAGCCTTACTTATGCAAGAACAGGCACTTTGGTGTCACAGTGGCTGCTAACCAGAAAGTTGATGGTTCAAACTCACTGGCTGCTCTGTGGGAGGAAGATGAGGGGCTCTAATTCTGTAGAGATTTATAGCCTTGGAAACCCTACGGGAGTTACCATGAGTTCGAATCTACTTGATGGTAGTAAATTTAGTGCAAGACAAGGCTCAAAACCTTTTAGTAATTTAAAAGTAATTTAATGTAGTAAGTGAAGGTGATAGTTAAGAATTGGTTGTATGTAGGGGTTGGTTCCTTGGTTCAATCATTTCAAAGTGAGGGCAAATTTACATAACATTAAAGGGCAAGTATTCCTTAAGTCTGAAATCCCTTAACCATGGAACTGCCTAAATACTATTTGAACTGTATTCAAATAGTATTTAGGTTCTATGCTCAAGACATTGTACCTGCTTTGTCTAAATATTTCACAGCACTGTTTGATCTCTTAATAGAAGCTGTCTCCATCCTTTCTTCCCTCTTGGGTCTTATATGAAATATTTGTGATGAAGACTAGCCTTCTCTGATATAAAAAGAAGGGGCTATCAGAAAGCCCTTTCCCCCTTCTTTAGGCTTACCACATTGCTTGTGTTTAGGGTAAGGATAAGAGAAAATCCTGTATGTATGTAGAATGTATGCTTGCCTGTCTAAGGTAGTAGGGTTTGGATATATGAGGGCTTTCTGCACACATTTGGAGCTCCACTATTTTAATTAGTGGTGTTGTAGATGATACAATTCTGAAAGCCTCTTTCTGCTTTCTGGAAGTCAGTTCTTATTATTTGAGATGGTTGTTACAGTGACAAAATAGAGGGGATGAATTAAGAATGCTTGAGAAAAATTAATAATAAAAGAAGAGGTGGAATAAGCTTGTATACTCTTTGATGGATTAACAGTCCAAAGAACTAGGTCTGAAATAGCACATAGCCTGCTTCTGTGGTGCTGCTGGTAATTTTATGAGATCTATGGAATTTCCTAATCATTAGCCTATCAGGTTGACCTATGCCTTACAGAGGCTGGGACTATAAATCAATGTGAGGGTGGGAAAGTATATGACAAATGAACAAATAAAATACTTAAAATCCTATCAATTTCAGGGTATACTGTGATTATGCCTATAGTGATAGGTCAGAGGGACTAAACAGCATCCTCCACATATGCTGGATCTTCTAAAGCTCTCCACTGAAGTCCTAATACAACAGAAATGATGGCTTCTGTTCTCCTGAGTTGTGGTGTAAACAGTTAATATGCTTAGCTGCTAACCAAAACGTTAGTCCATCAGAAGTGCCTCAGAAGAAAGTCCTGGTGATCTACCTCCCAAAAATCAGCCATTGAAAGCATTAGGGAGCACAGTTCTACTTGGACATATATGGGGTTGCCATGACTTGTCATTAACAACTGGATGCCATTAGCATCCATTAATAATCAGAACATGGAGTGTACAAAGTATGAATCTAGGAATATTGGAAGTTGTCAAAAATGAAATAGAATGTATAAAGATTGATATCCTAGGCATTAGTGAGCTGAAATGGACTGATTTTGGCCATTTTGAATCAGACAACCATATGATCTACTATGCCGGGAATGACAAATTGAAGAGGAATGGTGTGCATTCATCATCACAAAGGGTGTTTTAA